AACTTTCAGACATTGGGGCTCTCTTCAGCTCAGGTGCTGCCTTGGTGGTCAGGCTAGAACCAGTCCGGGGAGTAGACTCTTGTTATCTTGGACCTTTCTACTTGAGCTGATTCTGCAGTTTTGCTTCTGCAAAATGTGACTTCTGTGAATTCTGCAGTTCTGCTTCTGCAGTGTGACTTCTGCCTCAGCAAACAGAGAAGTGGGTATAGACTAATGGACTGTGGTATGGAAAAGGAAGAAAGTAGGTTAGCCTCTGTACAGTTATGGGTCTCTTTCTCCTGTCACTTCAGTATGTGTCTGTCTCTCTCTGCTGAGTCATGTCTGACTCTTCGTGACCCTATGGACTGTACCCTGCTAGACTCCTCTGTCCATGGAATTATCCAGAAAAAAAGAACAAAAACAGCTGGAGTGGGTTGCCATTTCCTACTCCAGGGGATCTTCTCAACCCAGGGACTGAACCTGTATCTCTTCTTGCATTGGCAGACAGATTCTTTACCACTGCACCACCTGGAAAGCCCCTTCAATATCTGTAGCAAAACCTTTCTCAGTATTTTTAGAGGAAATTCAGAGCTAGATGAAGACACTTTTTTTGCTCTACTACCTTCCCAGCTAAACAGCATTTCCTCTACTTGCCAGCTATATGTATAAGATGAAGATTTTATATATTGAAACTAAAAATAAAAGTATGTGATTTATACCTTGCTGAGTAATTTGGGTCTTCTGGAGTCATGATAATACTTGTGATAATAAGTTCACATACAGGTACATTTGCAATTGTTTTTGTTCTAATTTAGAATTAGTTGTAACTATGTTTTTATTCTTATTTTGAAGTTGAATTTTTAATTTTATTTTTTATTGAAGTATAGTTGATTTACAGTGTTCTGCAAGTCTCTTTTGTACAGCAAAATGATTCAGTTATACACATATAGACAAGAAAATATTTTTATTCTTTTCCATTCTTTATCATAGATATTGAATATAGTTCCCTCTGCTATGCAGGAGGACCTTGTTGTTTATCCATCCTATATGAATTTGAATTTAGGTATCCTGTTTTAAAAGGTCATGCCTAACTAATATGAGGAAAGTTTAAACTATTATTTTTTGTTGAATATCTAATATACTCAAGCTCCATTATAAATACTCTAACAATAAAAATAGTTTCTATGGGCCCAGGAAATTTATTTTGCTAAGGAGAGAAGGCATATACCTATGATTGAGGCAGTATCATGAATAAAGATATGAAGGTTTAAATGCTTAAACTGTTTTTGAGAGTTATGGAGGTGGTCAGATTAGTAACTTCTTATAAATATTTTATTTAACAAGCATGTTTGTGAATGTGAATTTGTGTAAAATTATGTTTTTAACTTATACACATGACACATGATACAGTTAAAAAATTAAGACCTCAACATGTTTTTAATACTGCTGTAAGCCATAATTATTTTCTTTTCTAAGATATAAGAAGATAAGGATGATCTATTTTGTATTTAAAAACTTGTGTGTAGAGTACATGTCACTCTCTTTCTGTAAGGAGAAGTAAAGACCATTTTTCTCTCCCATGGAAGTAGCAGATCATCAGTCCCTAATAGTGGAAATGATTATAATTACAGTTTAGTCATTAGGAATCTTTAGGAGATGTTCCTTCTCTGCCTGTTGCTTGGTTATTCTTCCCTCCAGTTTGGCCAGCGTAAAATGTAGAGTATGATTTGTTGATCAGATACTGTGTGTGTGTGTGTATGTGTGCATGTTTGTGTGTGTGTTTGTGTGTGTGTGTAAATGGTGGAAAAATTATTTCATCATGACAATAAGTCGGCTCTGGCTTTCTCATCCAGGTTTTAAAATAAAAGTGACTGTTAAAACATGCTAATAAAAATAGCTGGGAAAGAAATAGATGCTGTATCATCATGTACGCTATATAATTGTGAATGTTACATTTGGGAAACTTTAATTTCAAAAATGACATTTAATGTTTGATTAGACTGGTAATATGCATTTATTAATACAAAAGATAGAGATGACATAACTATACTATTGGAAGTGCATGGCATACATAAGAAAAGACTGTGTTTCCTGAGATTCTTCATGTGAAACTTGCCAGGTTGTTTTCAGAATAGTTGTGCTTGATATAAAATGCTGCATTTACTTTGTAACAAAAAGCCAAACTTAAGATGAGATTTTATAGCTGAGGAAAAAAGTAAATAAATAAATAAATGGATCTGAAATGTTGGCTAAGATTTCCTGTTCTTTGCTTATGCTGTCTGTGTGCAGTAAGATAAACTGTTTGTTTTGTCTACTTCCTTTCTGTTTGCTGAAAGATGAACTGCTTCTTTTGTGCATTTCCTTTCAGTATATCTTAATTCAGAACAGAATTGACTAATTTGCTATCATTTTGGCAGATTTCTGCCATTTATTAAGCCAGGTTTAATGTTTAAAGCAATTTTAAGTGTTCTGTCAGGCAATAGTAAAATGTTTCCATTAAAAATGTATTACCAATACTCATCAGAAGTCAATAATGTAACTTGCTATAAAACAAGGTTGATTACAAACTCTTCATTTAAACAATCCATTTGGTATTCATGACAAATTAAACATCTCTGTATAAATATACATCACTTCTTTGTGAATAGGCATTTAGATTATCTGATTTAAAATGAATTGGGTATTTCAGCTCCAGTTATAGCACCCTTATATCACAGTTCCTAACAAAGTGCTGAAGAAACTTTTATATCCCGGTATGATAATATTATATTTTAATGTAATGATTAATTACATTAATCTAGCTTCTGATAAATATTATCACAAATTAAAAGTCTTTATAAGTGTGGATTAAAGTTATCAGGATAAATCTAAATTTTATTACCTAAATATTTTCATTAAAAACTTAGTCTATAAAGTAAACCTTTAATTCAGAGGCAACAAGATAGGTTTAAAATTAATGTGTATTATATAAATTGATTACATCATTAAAACTAATAATATTCTGAGTATTAGTTATATAATAGTATAATTCCAAAATAATTTTATATTAATTAAAAAAATTCTTCACACTTTTCTTATGTTTTTATCCATGGCAGGTATTCCAAATGTATAGGAAATGGAAAGGAAAGGTTTAAATAGGCTGGTCAAAGTTGTCAGTGAACCCATGCAAATATAGAAGACCAGTGGTAAGAAAAATCTAAGCACACAGTAAGCCTATTAGACATTTTGCTTTCTCTAGAAGAAATTAATCATTGCTTTACCATGGCAAAGCCACTTATGCTAGAGAGGTCAAAAGTAACCTGCCAGATTTGTCAGAAGTGAACATAGTTTCACATTTGCTTTATCATGTATTGAGTCTTATAATGCATGTTAAATATCATGATTTGTCTTTTCCTAGAAGATTTTGAGGGCTTCAGTTACATAGGTATTAAATCAACAAAATTGAAACATGTAAAGTGTGTCTACTTTTATTGATATGTATATGTGTGTGTGCATGTATGTGAATATATATGCATATCTGTGTCTGCATATATAGTGTGTTTATCTCTTCATATATGTGTATAATAACTTTTCTATTTATATAATGGAAAAAGTCATTTTTATATACACACTTTTTTCACACACGGTAATGCATATTATAGTCAAGAAATATATATTATGCATATATAGATAGGATGTACATATGTTCATAGTTGTTCCTTTATCATGTTATTGTCCTTTAGGTGTATGTCTTTTTTTTTATCAGGAGGGAATTCATTAGGTTTATTCAAAAATGCAAAAAGTACGTTGACCCAATTATTTGTGATTAAAAAGTAAATTATTAAAAATGTGTGCCTGCTTAGAGCTGGAGGAGTCAGTATGCATGACCATATGGGAAAGAATCCCGAAATATGCTATAAAGTCAGATTCCCCATTAAATACTTTCATTCCTTTTGGGTATAATCCTAGAAGGCAGTATCCCATAGTGACACAGAGCAAGAATGTTGGGGCCAAGGAGGCAAAGGCTCTGGCCATTGTTGTGGGAACTTAGGCATATTTCCTGCATGGAATCCTTTTTTAAAACAGTATTTGTTTGGAGTACTATTTGAGAAGGGGACGACAGAGGATTCAACAGTTGGATGGCATTACCGACTCAATAGACATGAGTTTGAGCAAGCTCCAGGAGTTGGTGTTGGACAGGGAAGCCTGGTGTGCTGCAGTCCATAGAGTCGCAAAGAGTTGGACATGACTGAGCAACTGAACTGAACTGAATTATTTTAAGAATTGCATTAGATACTGTAGTGTGAAAAAATTAATAGAAAATGTTAAGCTGTGTTTGGATTATATTACAGTATTTAAAAAAAGGAACAATACCAGCATTTATTAAGACATATTTAGTTACCACAGTTTGCTTAAATTTTGCATTCATAGCATCATTTAATATAGCTAATAAACCTTACAGATGGATATTATTTTTATTGCTAGATATTATAGATGATGAATGTGTTAGAGTTTGAATCCCTTGCTCAAGGTCAAACCTTGAGAGTCAGGATTTGAAAAGATATGGAAACTCTTGTTCAAGAAAGAAAGAAGAAGTAAAAAGAAAAATAATAAACGAAAATCATGATAAAAATTTGATTCCTATTTACTTTATGAATGGGCTCTAAGAATATATCCTTATTTTTCTCCAGTTATTCAGAAAAAAATCTTCAAGCTATGAATTCCTAAAGATCTTAGTGCATGAGGCATTCAGTGCATTTAACCACTTTGTTCTACAAAGGCTTTTTTTTTACTTATTATGCCTTCCCAGTGCTTTCCCAGCAAAACACTGATGTACTATTCATCATTTCCATTTGGAAGAAGTAACTACTTTCCTGCTTAGCTGTCACACTGCTTCCAGTACAGTATGTTTCAGTAATAAATAAAGTGCATGCTTTAAGTGAAAGTATACGTTTTCTGATACATAAGTCTCTTTGGCGTAATTCTGGAGGGCATGAGAGAATATTTATGTTATTGTTTAATGGCGACTCACTTCTTTCTAGGAGCAATTTTTGATGAATCTGCCAAAAAGGATGATGAGGTATTTCGCACAGCAGTTGGTGACCTCAACCAGAATGAGGAGATCTTACAGACTGAGAAAATCACATTTTCGGTGACATTTGTTGATGGCAACAACCCTTTTCAAGCAGTTCAGGAAGGTAAGGTCTATCAGCACTCTACATTTTGTTTTTTGGTTCAGTACAAATGGCAATGAAATTAAATTTTTAAAAGCCATTAAACATGAACATCATTTTTGCATGTTTGCTGCATTGCTTTTCTATTAGGGTGTTATTTGTTAGATTTTAATCCTGTATTCTACTTCTGAAAGGGCAGTGAGTGAAAAGTTATTGTTTTAAGAAATATAATATGAAAATGGTCTTAAATATTTATAATAAAAACTTTGCAATATTTTATGACTTTAGTGTAATTGAAACATTCCTTAAAAATGTGACTTTCTATCTGAAGTTTTACTTTGTTTTCTTTGAGATAACTGCTGCCTTGAGTGTTATCACAACTGGAGATGACATTTAAGGTGTATTCATGACAGATGTGTTGCTTGAAGAAAAACTTCTGACAGTACATACAAATCAAAGATCCAAAATGCAAAGATTTTGTGCTTGAATCTCTACAGTGTGCCAAATTTTAAAGCACTTTTCTCCATTCTCTCTGTAAACTTGAATGAATTAAAATTTTACATAGGTACAGAGTCATACCAATTATTTTTATTATGCTAAAATGATCCTTTGTATGAATGAAGGACTTGAATGAAAGATCTTACACTCATAAAATTCTAGTTTTGATGCTATTATTGTAATGAAATATTTAGTCTTTTGATTGGCAAAGTAGTCATTATTCATGAAGTTATTTGTTGTTAATCTGTTTTATATTTTATTATGATTATATATTTAGACTAAAGATACTAATATGAAATTAGTTAAATGAAGCATTAATTTCTTTCATTAAAAACTTAGAGAAATTGGCAGAAGAAAATATGGACAAGATATGACTGTAGTAAAGTCTGGTAGAAAACTTTTTAAAGAAAAGTATTGAAGGGGTAAAGAAGATAAATGTTTTTGTTTTAATGTATTTACATGATATACAAGTAAGTTTTATTGGATTGTGTTTTTGATCAGTGGCATTGGCTAAAGCCTATTTAAGCTTATTTCTGTCAGTAAGGCAATGGATAGAATAATTAATAGTCTAATGGATTTTCCTTCTTATTAATTTGATGAAGTGAAAAGATATTATTTTAATGACATGAACAGAAATTTTTAAGTAAAGGTTGATTTTGTAATAAAATAGATTTTTCATATAAATATGATGGAACTTTAATACATAAGTATAAATTTTAAAAATCAGATTAATATAAGCATCTGGTTTTTTCTTGCATTTTAATTCAGAATTATCCTGGGAATTTGCAACTTTAAATCATGGCTATGCTGATAAATTTTCTATAGAAACATCTAAAAACTGTCTAAATTAATGTTCGAATTCATAAAGCAGCCTGCAAAAATAATAAACTAGAAATTGTGGAAAATACTTGTAATGTAAAAGAATAGTTACACTAAGAATGTTATTCTTTAAAATAAGTAGGTATTTCTTTCCCAACTGTTAGTTTCAGTAACCAGAGTAAGAACAGGAAAACATGAGGACCGACTTACTTTTGTGACTGTCTTCTTAACTGCAGATGTGCTAAAATATCCATGCCTTTTAAAAAATCCACTTTGACTGAAAAAATGTGGATAAATCAGTGAGAAATATACAGTGGGTAAAATGGAATTACAAGAGCTAAATAAATATGGCCTTCACACCTTTTTTTTTTTTTAAGAGACTACTTTTTTTTTTTTAGAGACTACAATTTGAAACACAAGGACAGTTTTTAAAATACCACAGTTAATTTATTTACATATTACTTTGTGTAACCATTCTACTGCCAACTAAATTCTGGAAACAAAAATATCTCTCAAAAGAACTATTGTGATATAAAAGAATTTTTGGCACTGAAAGCAAATTGAGACAGGAAGTAAGTTTTAAGTTTTCAAAATAGAGAATGCTAGATATTTGTCAAGAAAGAATAAAGAACTTGATAGTTTGCCTGATGGGTTTTGATACTAACAGGATGTTCTGGATCAGTTATTTTGATGGTCTGCTTTGGGTAATGAATCTGAAATACGTTCTAGGCAACTCTGGAGCTAATTTTTACTCCATTCAATATCAAGAAAGATCTTGTTTAATTTTAGAAGTAAAAACAGTTTTTTCTAGAGCTCTTATTGTATTTGATAACTTTGAAACAATAATAGAAATATTCAATTGAGAGAGGACAAAAAGTATTTAGGAGTATTTCTTAAATATTTTGAGGAAGTATTTTAGGAGAAACCTTCAACTGAACTATCAAAGATGGTCACCTTTATATCATCATATCTTTGCTGCAGTATCATTAAAATCTATAACATAAAGGGCCTTAAATCAGTTTGTTAATATTTTGTTTATCCTATCTATATTCAACACTTAATAAGAGAGAGAGATTTAAATATAAACAGCCTACTTACTCCATAAACTTTAATAAAGAATATTGGTAATATAAAATGCTCCTTTGTAGTTTTGGTTATTGTAGTTTGTGCATAATAATAATTATTTTACAGTGAGTTTCTTGAAGAATGTATCTTGGTTACAACATAGGATCAGTATTTTCTATTCTCTGGAGAGCAATGACTATTTGATCATCATTTTCACTATCCTATAACATTAATCTCAGCAGTTTCAGATAAATGAACAGTAGGAAAAAAAATTCTTATTTTAACAAAAGTAATTTGTCAATAAACCACCTATTTTTAGGTAATTATTTTTGCTTTCTTTTGAATATTTTTTGGTAAGCCATTGGTTACCTTTAATCTGTTGAGCTGTGTGATGTCAACTAATGGTAAAGACTTTTTCATACCTTAACTTAGGAATTCTTTTCTTTAGTTTATTTTTTGTGTGTGTGGACATTTTTCTTAAGATATACAAAAAACATTTGAAAACATTTGAAATTATCAAGGTATAAAATTATGTAAGTCCTATTGAATGTTAAATTAAATAATTGAGACCACAGTGGTTAAGTAATCATTCTACAAACTGGAAGTGTGTAGCAAAGAATGAATGAACTAAACCAAGGCCTGTAGACCACTGACCTGATATATTCCTTACTATATCTGCAGGGATATATATATATATATATATTGTGTGTATATAAATATGTATATATATGCATACTTATTTATGAGGAAAATGCCTAATATATTCTGATATATTCTAGGACTTCAGTAAACACTGCTGGGAATGAAAATGGTAGCAGATTTATGTTTTGATTAGATAACATGGATTAGCAGAAAAATACCAATTTGATTGGCAGCAGTAGTTGCATTGTATAATCCACTCAGTTCATTCATCCTTACTTCTCTTCTTCTAAATAATAATGAAGAAATCAGAACATAAGTGATGTATTTTAAGGTCAATTTCATCTCTGTAGATGAGATGCTCCCCAAGTCTTTAGAACAAATTTCCAGATTTAGATACATAAAGAATTAAAGATATTATAATTATTCAGTTTTCACTTTAGAGATGGCTTCACATTGTTGAAATTGCCTCCTGTGGTTTTTTTTTTTTTTTCATGATTGACTTCAGAATTGATTAAAAGAATATATGATAGCTGTCCTTTGTTCTGCTACCTCATCCAGCTATTCACAGCAACCTGGAGAACTCATTACTTTCATCAGAATTCAGAAAGGGCATTTTGCAGGTTCAGGTGACCTGGACCAAAGCAGTTGTTGTGAGATTTCTTTCCTTACTTTTCTTTTAAAGATTGTTGCTTCTATGGGACCTATGTACTGAATATAACATAGATACACAAATGACTGGTGTGAAAGGCAGTGTGTGGAAGCAAATTAGTAGAAAAATACCTGCTACTACTATTGTGCTTGAATGGAGTAATGCTGAGACAGGAGTAGGACCTTCTATTGCAGAGGGTAGTCATGGGTGTAGGCCAAATTGGGCAGACTTTCCGGTTGCAGCGAGTGCGAGGCCTATTAGGGGTATGTTAGAGTTATTTGGGTTTAGTATAAAAATTTGTTGAAAGTCTCAGGTGTTAAGGTTAACAAGGAATCATGCTATTGCTAGGATAAAGCCGATGTCGCCGATGCGGTTATATAAGATTGCTTGCAGAGCTGCTGTATTTGCATCTGTTCGTCCATACCATCATCCTATGAGTAGAAATGATATGACTCCCATGCCTTCTCATCCAATAAACAATTGAAATAGGTTGTTTGCTGTAACGAGAATAAGCATGGTGATGAGAAATAGGAGGAGATATTTAAAGAATTGGTTAATATTAGGGTCTGAGTGTATATATCATATAGAAAATTCTATAATGGACCATGTGACAAATAATGCTACTGGAACAAATATTATTGAGAAATAATCTATTTTAAAGCTTAGTGATAGTTTAACGGTTTGGATTGTCTCTACTGAAAGCAATAGCAGCTGTTTATATTGTTAGCTCTTAGCTGAGACCAACACCACTATGGGCCGTTAAAGATAGGGATTTATAAGACAATAAGGTCAGGAAATGTAAGGAGAATGTGTAAAAATGTTCACATTGAAAGGTGAATACAGAGATATGAATGCATGTATAATTCTTGTCTGCATCACATGTATCAGGAAGAATGTTAAGAACTATGCACTGATATTTAATGGCAAGATTCAGTTAAAACATTTTGAAATAATTATTAGAAAAAATATATAAAAATGAAATGCATAGTGAGAAGAGTATAAGGGAAGATTTATACCATAGAGTCACAAATGATTCTATTTGAAAAACAAAGGACTATCAAAATTATTCTCTGGTGCGTTAAAAATTATTATAAACAATTTAGTTATAAAAGTTGATTTTAATACAAAAAGCAGTCACATTTAGGATTGCTCATCTTCCAGTTACAGCTGGGTCCATCTTTAACTTACTTCTTCACACACCAGGCATGAGTATTGATTGCTCTCAAAGATCTTATAAAAATAGACATCGAACTTTCACACAGTGACAATTTCAATTGTACTTGCCTTGCATATCTTCCAAAATTAGTGTAAGTGTAAAACAATGAGACTACTTTCATTTATGGATTATGAA